CCAAGAGATGGCGATATGGCTCATTCTGTTTTGTCTGATGAAAGTGAAATAATAACAGGGGTTACCTCACGGAGATTCACTCATCGTCACAACGTATCGTAACAGTTTAATAAGGGATGGGATATATATATATATTTGTGAATTTAACTAGAGGTATGCATGTTTAGCTAGCCTTTGGAAGATTGTTCAAGATGTGTAGGTATTCTGTGCATGCTATAGGCCAGTGAAGCCGCCCCACCCCCCCCCCCCCCACCCCCACCACACACCCACATCAACGTTTTGTTCCTGCTTAACGGCTATTTGACTACAGCTGCGCTGGCATTGTTACACAAATCACCAGGCGTGGCTGTGGTGACAGACCTCAGACACGACTGACCAACTTCTCCGCATCTTTATGATGTTGCTGTGCGTCCAATAGCTAGATTACAGTTTTTATAATGAAATATGTTCAGAGAATCCACACAGAGATAATGACAGACTGGAAAATCCCCTGAAAACTGACACGGGCCTGGGTCTTGGTTGAAGACTTTAAATTTTAGAATTTTAGACTTTCTGTTTGGAAATGGCAGGTTTTGGTTAAATTTTTTTGGTTAAACACCAACATATGTTTTTGCTACAAAATAACCAATAATGCTTTTAAAAATGTGATAATATAAAGTTTTGATGTAAGACTTAATGAAACACATGAAGTGTTTATTTGTTTATGTTGTGTTTGGTGTTTTTAACCAGATTTCATTTGTAACCACGGTGAAACTTAGATGTTAAATAGTCTTGGGAAGACTCTTTTCACTGCGCTCGAACAGTAAATTGAACGAATCTTGAACGAGTCATTTCGTTCATTTCTACAGCAGGTGGCGCTGTACGCTGCCATTCTCAAACGCTAAATACTGAAGGTAACATGTTTGTTTCCGCTGACAAAGGACGGACGCACGCACAGTTGCGATAGTCGTTAACTAATCATTTTTAGCTGCCTGCCGTGTGGCGAAAGAAGGTACTGCATGGAAATGAACAAATTGCTCGCTGAGAAGACTCATTACTCCCGAGTCACATGAAAGATAAGTTCATATTAAACGAATCGATCACGAATGACGCATCGCTAACGTAAAGACGAAAATAGCTTCATAACCCATATTTTCGACCGATATTAGCATAGTTATGTGATATCCGTAAGAACCGTCAATGGTTTTTCCTCACGTTGTTTTCGTCAAAAATAGCTTTGTAGTGAACATGAAAGTGAATTATTGTCCTTGTGACTCCACTACATACATTGGTATCGATTGATATTGGAAATGAAAATTTACAATATCAGATATCGACGGAAAGTTAATATCGACATCTCTTGCTTCAGTACTTAGTGGAGGTTACCTGAATCCTCATAAAATATTACGCAGTGATGTTTTGTGTTTCTGCACAGTGAATTGACCTGTGTGTGTGGCCAGACAGTTCAAAACCCTATCTATTCCTCATAGAACCTCCTACAACATGTTGGGGTTTTTTTTAACATCTGAAGGGTAACCTAATGATAGCAGATGGTAGAGATGCTGTTTTGCTGAGTGAATGCGATTGTATCCCCATTTGAGCTCCAAGTTAAAAAGAACGCTTATTTTCCTGCAATTACGTCAATTGGCACAAAACAATCCTGTAACCGTTTTGCTGCCGTTAGTGTTCGTCTGTAATCAGCTCAATGGTTTGGCATAATGCATTGAAATAAACTAAAAATTGAAAGTACAAGTTGGGGAAAATTAGGCGAAAATAATTTGATTCATATTCCAATTATCGGAGCAATTTCAACCCAGGTAGTTGCATATTGGAGGGGAAAAAATATAAAGAAAAGACTATTCTTTTCATAATTTATTCTTTAACTCGGCACTAAAATTAGATTTGTCGCTTATTCTAATTCTCTCTTTTATGCCCAACCCCCCCCCCTCCTTTTTTGTGTTACAACCGAGCTGTTAAGCACATGACTGCAGCAATGGTCAGAGGCCACTGTTTCCCCATCACTACTGTAATTGTCAGTGTAATTTCATGTCTATAACTGTCAGAATAATGGGGATATAATCCCAGCCCGGTAGCAAATGTAAACAATGAGCAAGGAAATCAAATGCAAAGTACCACAGTATAGCCCCTGGCACGGTAAAAGACACAGCAGCAGCACCACCACCACACTGTACCCTGCCTCAACATCCCACACTTCTAAGCTTCTGGAAGAGAAAAGCTGCTGCGCTGCAACAAAGACCATGGAATAAATTCAGTTAAAGGCTGAAGAGAAGCGAAAAGTCCTAAACATATTTTCACTACCAGAACGGATTACTCCTTCCGACAATGCAATGTATTGATTTCACAAGCGGTTACAGAACATTTGATTTTAATAACATGCTCAAAGGGAAGAAGGATTGTTTTTTTTTTTAAATGTTTTTTTTTTAGGAGGATCCTGAAATAGTTTAGTGTTCGGTTTCAAAATAGAAAACGATCGGAAGTTGGGTAGAAATAATAGCAATGTTTCTTTTAGTCAGCTCACCAAAAGTTAAAGCCGTTTATTTAGGCATGGGTACAATTACATTCAAGCGTTATGCTAATCGAATTAGCTCGGACTATATTATTGCAATTGCATTGAAAAAATTTCCAAAGCTAATTGCTCTAGTGACAAGTTGTTGAAAATCATGTGATATAACATTTGCTGTTTGCAACCCGACTGTTTAAATCACACGTGTCAAACTCAGGCCCGGGGGCCAAATCTGGCCCGCGGTGTAATTATATTTGGCCCACAAGATCATATAATAAACGTGTACTAGAGTTTGCCGTCCTATATACTGGCAGAATTTGTAGCATTAGCGGCGTACACGCTATGTCCTAGCACATAAATTTTGGTTTTTTTGTTTTGTTGTTGGCCTGTGAGGAAAAAAAAGATTTACATTAAAAAGGAACTGGAAAGGCTACAGATAGAGAGACATAATAAGAAACAAATACTACTGTTGCGTTTTAGTTTAAATTTAATTTCTCATGTGTTTATAATATAAAGCTTTGGTTGTTCCAGATTCAGTGTTTACGTAAAACTAAAGTATGTTTCCATATGAAAACAATCAACATCACATATCTGGGGAGAAGGGAAAACATGCACAAGTGCAATCAATTTTTTTCAATAAATATTAAGTTTGGCCCATGACTTTGGCCCAGTTTTTGAATTTGGTCCACTGTGAAAGTGAGTTTGACACCGCTGACCCCCTTCCTAGGCGTCACATTTTTGTTTAGTTCGTTTTCCATTTTTAGATTTGTCAACTTCAATACACAGGATTATACAAAAATGTATAAATGAAGGCGGAAGTTGTTTCCTTCCAGTACATTGAAAGCACAGGCTCGAACTGCTTTGAGGCAGTGCTTTTGTAGACAATGTAGCTTTATTTCACCTTCGCATTTTACCATTAGCAAACAAATGAGTGGCTTGCTCGAATGTGCAGCTCCGTAGTGATTTGCATTAGTGCCGCTCCTCTCCCTCGGCTCAACAAGCTGTGGCAGTGGATATACAACCAATCTGAGTCCTGAACACATTCTTTGTACTCGCTGTTGGTTGAAGTGAGGAAAGTAAAAATCCATGAGGCAGGTAAAGGATTTCTTCACTCAATAGCTAAGGATAAAAAAAAAAAAAAAATCTTGAGCTCTATGTTTATTGTGTTGACATTTAGGGAATAAATCCACAGTGAAATCTCATTAGAGCGGAAAACCCACTGCTGAAACCAATGCCTGTGGGCTTAAAAAGTCCAGCCACACCCCGTGGACGCTCGGTGGGTGTTTTTCCATCAGCTGTCAGAGTCGACATATCACTCCGATATTACTGACAGGTGTGTGACCTGGGGGGAGGGGGGGGGGGGGTACTGCGTTCTTGAACATTCTATGTTGCGAGAAGCCTTCAGCAGCAGATATGTGCTGATTGTCATCCGCTGTGGGTTTACTCTTCAGTGCACAATGACACATCATACTGCTGTTTATTTTTTCTATTTTTTTTCTGCTTGTGTGTGTGAATGTGTATGTGTGTCGCTGTGAATGTGAATGTATTTTTGCATCAGATATACAGTCAGTGTTGGACTCTTACGTGTGAATGTCCCGTGTAAACATTTTGCCGGTGGTTGTGTTCAGTGGAGATTGTGGACTCTGTGGAATCGTACGCTAACTTGTTGAGGAACATCTTCGACTTTGCGGCCCTGAAGGAGCTGCTGTCAGGAGACGACCACATCAAGATACGTCTGGATGCCATGCATGGAGGTGAGACAAAAGTAAAAGATTATTCTGATACACCGTCAACATAAACATCAAGATGGATGGATGGATGGATGGATGGATGGATGGATGGATGGATGGATAGATGGATGGATGGATAGATAGATGGATAGATAGATAGATAGATAGATGTTTTATTGCTATAGAAACACACACATTTAATAGTATATAAGGATTTCTGTGATATAAAATAAAATGTGGTTTTAATTATGAGTTCTTACCTTCGAGACAGAAAATACAGTAGCGGCTAATGGCGGCACGGGAGGAGGGGGAGGGATGGAGGGAAGAGAGTTGGCCTGTACGCGGACGCTTGATTCCGTACCGTACCTTACACGTACACTATGTAACTTACATAAAGTTAGAATTAGCTTAACCTAGCTTACTTGTTTTTTTTTTACTTCTTAAAATGTTTGCTTTTTTTTTTTTTTTCAATTTGTATTCGTTACGTTTCTGCACTTTTTTCTCCTGACTACCCTGACTTTCACTTGGCGCAGGCCTTTTAACAAAATACCTAACGAGGGAGATTCCTTTTCAAAATGTTACAGAAACGAGTGAGGCACGTTTCGTCAAAAAGCGCCGAAGCACGACTCTTTGTTTTTAGTTCATTTGTTCAACTGGGTGCTGCTGTTCTTTCTGAACGTCTGTTACCAATAATGGGTGGCTCGATGCAGATTAACCTTACTGATGATAAAATAAGCCAATCAGAAGTACAGAGTACAACTTTTCCACTCCTCCCAAAGGACGTCGACAGGTCTCACTCCATTTTTTTTTTTCCGTCCACGGCCTGTTGTGCGCTGTAAATGCAGCAGTGTGCCAACTCTCTCTTGTTGTCCCTAAAATTTATGATCCGGGAACAGGTCCAGGTTTTACAGCGAGTAAGTAAATTGGGGGGAAATTGAAACGAGAAGATCATTACATTTCATTACAAAAACCTTCAGTTTTTTTGGGGTGTTTTTTTTTTTTTTTTTGTACGGTGCATAAAAATGTATAATATATGTGCTGTGGCTCCAAGAAGGTTGGAAAACACTGCTCAAATTGGAGAAACCTGCAGCTAGTGTTTAAAAAAATATGCTGTACTCGTCGTTAGATAGTAAACCATATATATACATATTGTTGTTCGAGATCTACTAGCACTCCCTTTGCGATCTTCTAATAGATTCCGATTTACTTTTTGGGCACTATTGGTGTAAACATAAACGGGCATAGTTTTATAGGGTTCCGATAAGAGCCTTAAAGTGTATTGACTTCTCGAGACCAAATGTCAGCCATGATTTTATAGAGAACAACTGCTAGTTTCTGAAATAACTCCCGGAAGGAGTAGCCAAATGCAGGTGGAGCAGTTTGTGCTGATCTAATGATGATGATGATGTACATAAGTACTTCGTCCAACTGAGAAAAAAGAAAAAAACCCCCGCAACTATCTCTTTAATTCTATATAAATAATGGTCCCATATGGTCGCGAGGCTATTTCGGCGGCGTAAGGCGTTTAGTCAGTTTGTGTGCTTTGCCTTTGCTCCCACAGATACTGCACGCAGATTACTCTTTGTTCTTTTCTTATCTTTCCCTTATTTAACAATGGCCAAGAGGGGAGATGTGAGTGGGAATCAAACAGGCCTGTATTTTACAAAGCAACAAGGAAACAGGCAGTAGGCAATATCACTTTGTCTGCTGTAATGCGTGGGTAGTTAAAAAGTAAAAAAAAAAAAAAAAAAAAAAAATACGGCAAAAACAAATTATTTTTTTCCTCAGAAATTGCTACAGAAACAAATACAAAAAAAAATCAATATATATATATTTTTTTAAATTTTTTCCAGGATATTCAGTCACTCATCCTTTGAACAATAAACCGGGACATTCAGTCACTCATCCTTTGAACAATAATATGAACTGAATGATGAGGCCATTATTGTGATCCTAATTCATTGTGAATGGTACCACTACCCCAGTAGTACTCCTCCATGTCTGTTTGCCGTCCCCTCAGCCGACTTACTGGCCAGCTAGAAAATACTTAAACGTTATTACAATGGCTGGTGAAGAGCAGCATGGCGTAGCAGTGTGTGGGCGGGAGCTCTAATATGATTGGCTTAGAGACACGGAATGCCTGAGTGGCAGCCCTTAATAGGAGCCCTGGAGAGCTAACCCAACAGCTGTGTGTTTGCAGCTAATGAGAGATGGGGGAGGAGTAAAAGATCACAGACTGGAAGCATTCCTATAAACTCCTGCTTCAGAAATACTGGGGGGAATGTGGCAAATCAAGTTTTCTCCAGAGGACAGCGCTAAAAGATTTCCTCAGTGACAAAACCTGTGTTTGACTCGTTGTTTCTCATTCATTGGCCGTACTTAGGCGGTAATGCTCCCCGCTATCGATGTTTAGGGAGAAAGAAGGACAGTAAACTGAGGAGGGGGGTGTCTGTACCCCTGAGCTGAAAAAAAGAGTGATTTATAACCATCAGCAAAAAAAAAAAAAATCTGTTTTTTTTTTTCCCCCCCATATAATTGCCCTTCTGCAGTTTAACTGATGGTGCCAGACATGACTAGAATGTTCCAGTAAACACTTGGGCTGAAGTAATAAAATGATTAATTGGTCATTACTTCACTAATTGGGTCACTAGTGGAAAAAAAAAATCATAATTATAATAAAATCCAAACTCACTCGTAGATTGTTAAAATGTTCATTTTCATGTCAAGTAGCTGAAACATTCATGTTTGTTTGTTTGTTTGTTTTTGTTTGTTTCAATAAATGCAAAGTAGCTTCGGTGAATTTTTTAACTCAAATGTCACCATTTTCAAATTTATCAAAAGAAACACTAAAAAAAGCTCTTTATTTATCTGAGGAAAAAAACTCAACATTTTCCCTTTTATTCTATTAAATTAAATTGATTAAATCAAAGTATCTTCCTTTAATTTTTTTTTTTTTTTTTTAAATATAAGTTAGTTCACTATCTGCCCCCAACACACCCTCCAGATGACGCTGAGACTGTCTTCTCTCCCCTTTTGTATAATAATCGCCTGAGGGTGGCGCCAAATGAATAAATAGCGGCCCGTAGTGTTTCTTTTTTAGACCATTCATGCAACTGCACGGCATGAATATCAACAAGTAAACTGTCAGTGCAAACTACCTGTTACAGCAGTTTAGGGCAAGTTGTGGAATCGGTGCGTTTTGCATGATTTGTGGTGATTTGAAGGCGCAAGAATTAAACGGGTGAACGGATGTAGAAGATTGAGGCGCCTCACCATCATCATCAGTATCACCGCCATCATCATCATCATCATCATCGTCACCGGGCACTGCTTCATGCCCTTCCACTTGTTTGTGCTGACCCAGTTTGATGTGTATCGGAATGAAGTGGGGGGGGTAAGCAGCGGCGTAAAGAGTGAAGGGAGTGTGTGATGCAGTATGTGGATGGGAGCCTCACCTCCTCCCACGTTTGAATGAGAGAGGAAGAGAGACAGGGAGGAGGAGGAGGAGGAGGAGGGAGGAGGGAGGGGGGAGAGAAAGGAGCGAGAGGAGAAGCATTTAACAGCATCACTACTTGCTCCATGGGAAAGCCTCAGATGAGCTTCTCCTTGTCTTGCTTCTTCTTCGTCTTCTTCTTCTTCTTTTTTTATGTCGCAGTAACGCCGTTCACGCTGTCATCCCGTGCACACGCGGCGGGGCGACCACGGCGGTGTGCGCTCTGGGCTCACGGGAAGGCGCAGGGAAAAACTTGAGGCGAGGGGATGCGCCACTGCAAATGCGTTACCTCCAACGAGGATCGGCAGGCTTTCCTTGTGGACTACGACTCCTCGGATTCCGGTTCTATCCTAAACCAGCAGCCAGTCACAGCGACCCGATCGTAACTTGTTATATACTCCAACGGACTCAGTTCGATCTGCAGAGATTCAATCAGGACCGCAACGTGGAACCCGGATCCTAAATATTTGACGCGCAAAGTTTTGGCTGCTGTGCATATTTTTTGCGGCTTCCGAAGTTGTTTTTTTTTTTCTTTTTCTTTTTTCTTCTCTCTCTCTCTCTCTCGCAGCAGCAGCAGCAGCGACGGAGATCTGAGGGCGAGACGTCAGCCTCCCCGGAGCATCAGTGGACATAGTGATCATCAGCAGCCGAACCGACACCACTCGGAAAGGAAGTCTCTGGCACAGGTATTAAAAGCCATCGCAGATTTTCCCGGCAGAGTTGCTTTGGTGGTGGGAGAATGGGTGTGGGGTGAAGTTACTACTTGGGGGAAAAAAAAAAGTCTCGGGTCAGTGCGTGGACATCGAAGACTGCCGTCCATTAAAAAGCGATCAGAAGGAGAGGGGAGTCACTCGGCGTTACAGGTTGACGGAAAAGGCAACAGTTTCCAACCGTGACCGAAAAATAAGGATTGGATTACTCCACTGCAATTAAAAGGCACGGGCTGTGCAGGGCTGAGGTTTACACTCTGTGAGAGTTAATGGCATTAGATCATTAAGTGCGCATATGTTGTTGCACTTCAGCTGTAGTGCATGCACTTTAAGGCTCCGTGTGCTGAAGAATTAGGTTCTTTCAGCGCATCGATTTATGATGTGAAGCGGACATTTTGACGCCTTTCCATCATCCGTCTCATTTCAGCGCATCGATTTATGTGAAGCGGAAATTTTGACGCCTTTCCATCATCCGTCTCTTAGCACTTGGCGCAAACACGCGATCGCGGCTAATTGTTTGAACAGTCGATCTTAATAGTAGAGATCTTTACTCACATACTGCTAATGCATTGCTCTGTAGGATCGCCTATTTGCATATGATGGGAGAAAAGGGGAGAAGAAATCACCACATCCCCGGGGGTAATCTCTCTGCTCACCCAAGAGAGTCTGGGCTGTTGTTTCTTGCCACTCCACCGACCACCAGGCAAAATTTAATAGTGTGCTCCACAGTGATGTCAGAAGCCCCCCCCCCCCCCCCCCCCCACCCACACCCCCTTCACCTTATCTATCTATCTATCTATCTATCTAAAAACATTCATCTCACTCAGAGTGTTGTACATTTGCGATGACAGGTCTGAAGCAGGGTTTCTACTTTATTGCCGGTTCTTTATCTAATAACTATCATTATTATCATCATCAGTCATCTTCTGTTTGCTCCAAAACCCCATTCAACAATGACCCACTTATGATCAGGGTTTTTTTTTATATCCCTTTATTGCCTCTTACCTGCTTAATCTTTTACATCACTCTCTTTTTTTTCCAATTATTATAATATATTCAGTTCATGTAAAAAAAAAAAAAGCACATTCAACCCTTTGAAACTGTATGGCCCACGTGCTTTACAGATATGTATTCACTCATTATCAGAAAAATCTTCTATTGGTCGATAGTGGTTTCAGCAAAGTACTTTTTTGCCTGCAGTGTTGAGGAGACAGAATTTGTACTGTTGGATGGACGTCATCTTCATGAACGCTCCAACGCCCACTTGACAAAGACCATTTATTAAAAACCTCAGTGGAAAACTAAGCCTAAAACTCTACGAAATAGTTTGTTAACTTTAAAGTGAAGGTAAAGTTTACTTGTGACTCGCATAATATTATGTTTATTTTTTTATTTATTTTATTTAACAATTTTGCAACGCAAAATGTAAAAGTCATTCATATGCTCAAATGCTCAAATGCTTTTAGCGTTTTCTACGCCACCTATTGGGCAAAAGCGGGCATTATATTAAAGTTTTGGTGGGCCGGATTAAAAGGCCAGATGGGCCACATTGGGCCCTCGGGCCGTAGTTTGCTCATGCCTGCTCTACTTGATGCTTGTAATTCTTCTACCTTCAATTCGAGACGTACAAAAGACTATGTTTTTGATTTGAACTCAGATGATGCTAATGAGCTAAAACATTACATGCTTATTAAGTTCACAGGTTGAGAAGTCAAAAGCTTGACAAAACGAGCAGAAGGTGAGTTCAGGGAGATGATAGCAGAGATCAGGGGTCGCCTTGCTGTGCCTAAAGCAACATTTTAACCATTTGCAGATTACCTGCAAAAAGAGTCGCGGCTGCATTACCACCCGTCATAAATCACAATGACGGGAGGAAATGGGGTTTTATCTTTAAGAGCAGGTAAAAGGCGCAGATTCAGCCAATATGTACAATCACATCATTTGAGAAAACAATTAGATTACGCTCTTATCTCTTGCGCCGTAGCCAGGTAGAGAAGACGCACATCATCAGTAGATATTGTTGAGCCTACGCTTTTGTTCGGGTGAGAAACAAAGAGATTGATGATGTTCCTCATTAGGAAGCTACCGTGTCTTGCTGTTGCCGCGGTAGATTGTGGGGGTAAAAAAGCGGCCGCTTAAATGGTTTTGTCGTCATTATCATGGACACAACACCACAGTAAACTGTGTGTTAGTAACTTTTCAACGAAACCCTAATTAATACAGCTCTCGGATTACATTATGTAGTCCCGCAGACTGACCTCAAAAAAGGCAGATGCCATGGTAGATGTCACCAGGTTTGATTCAGTCAGTGGAAAGGCTATCTCTATGGTAACAAGGAATGTGACATTTGGGAAGCAGCACAATGATATTGTTCACACCCCGCTTTTTTGTAGTGTCAACTTAAATACCTAATATTAAAGCTGCAGTTCGGAATTTATATATATTTTCAAATATACAGTATTTAGTGCAGTGGAGGCTTAGTGGTTAAGGAAGTGGACTTGGCTCCAGAAGGTTTCAGGTTCGAATCCACCAGCTGCCCAGTTACCACTGAGCATGGCAGTGTCCCCACACACTGCTCCCTGAGCGTGTAAGCTGCCCACTGTTCACTTTGGTGATGGGGTCAAAGCAGAGGTCACGTTTTGTTGTGTCCTGTGTCACAATGACAAGTAGTTCATTTATATCCAAAATTACTTCAACTTTTCACATAAAATGAATCTCTGCTAACCAATTGCAGAAACTGTTCAGCTTCATATATTCATTTTCTAAACCCTAAGCCATTTAGAGTTCCTGGTTATCCAGCAAGGGTGGGCTACACCCTAGATAGGTCGCTAGTCTAATGGACCACATGGATAGACATGCAGCATTTATATTCACCTTTATACATATTCTCCACAGTGGACTATACATAGAGTATCCAACTAACCTACTATTTTTCTAGTATTTTCTGGACTATAAGTCCCACTTTTATTCATCCTTTGACTGAATTTGATTTGAATTAAGATATATAATTCACATGTTTATGTTTTAACACTGACAGCCGCTAGAAAGATATATAATTCACGTTTGTTATGTTTTAACACTGACAGCCGCTAGAGGGCACTCTAAGCTTGTGACCCCGTATCTCCTACTCCTGTACCACTAATAATTTACATTTTTTTTGTATTTCACACTGGCAGCCGCTAGAGGGCACTCTAACTGTCTAGTGCGACTTATACTCCGTAGCAACTTGTATATGTTTTTTTTTTTATTCATTATGCATTGTTTGGCTAGTGCGACTTATACTCCGGTAAATCAGTAATCCTTTTTTTTTGTGAACTGTGGGAGGAAAGTGAGTGCAGAAAAAACATGCAATCTCCAAATCACTGCAATGTACAAAAAAAGAATGTTACCACCCGGGATCAACCACGTGATATATTGGCAGTTAGTCTAGTACCACCCTGTCTGCCCTTTCATATTGCCTCTAGTTCTTGGCGTAATTCTGGCAGTATAATCTTCTGAAACATTTCCTTGTTGTCTGTTGGCTTTTAAAGACGATCTACAACATCACTCTCACTTTACTTTGCTCACAGTGTCTGGAAATATATAAGAAGATGAAAAGAAGTTTCTTTTATCTATTGGATTCCTAAATTTCAGACATTCTGAATGTCGGGTGTGTGGGAGAGTGGGTCATTCCGATTGCAGAGCCGGGGTACACGCAGGACAGTTCCCAGAGGAGAGTTTTACTGCTCAAAGCCTGCTCTTCTATAGCTCGGGAGACACATTTGTGATTCTCATCTTAGCCTCATTTTAGTTTCTGTTTTGTCTGAAACGTTTCTCGTATATATATTTCCCCTGAAATTCAGTCTCCTCTCCTTTGTCTGTTTTTGGACCAGTGGACCTGGAGACCCCGGCTCCTCATAAGAGTCTATACAGAACCAGTGGAGTACGGTTATGTGGTTTGTTTTCCATTACTTTTTTTTTATAAAAGGGAAACTTGTTTTCCTATGTGACGATAGCTTTTTATTTACATCGTAGGAAGGGATGAGGACTTTGATATTGGAAGCTGTATGATTTGAAAAGGTCACTGGCAAGGAAAGGGTCACGCTCGGGTGAGCCTCTGATTCAACTTGCGACTGTAGCGTGGAATGGCTACGGGGCGCGTGATTCACGATACAGCACACTTGCTCCATTAGTTTGGTTGTATTTTTAAACTTGGCAACCCACAATAGGCTTTAAAGCAGGGGTCTCAAACTCATTTTGGTTCAGGGCCAGATACGGCCCACAAATAAGTACGTTGGGAATTATCAATATTTAATGAAATATATTTTGACAAAAACATCACCAACATGAAGTGTTTGTTTTTTGTTTTTTTTTCACTTTCAAAGTACATGAAGCGGCCCGGATTTACACCCTAGCGGGCCGGTTTTGGCCCGCGGGCCATTTGTTTGACACCCCTGCTTTAAAGTTTTTGGGGTTTTTTTCAAGCATCTTTCAGCAATAGCATCTAATTGTACTCTTTTACCGTAATTCTAAATATAAAAAGACCTTATTTTTCTTAGATTGAAGTTAATACACACCCTAAATAAATGAATTTATATTTGATTTGTCACAAAATCTTTTTGAAGATTTGTACCAACCAACATTAGCGTTGGCTGACAAAAAATTATCTTAGCCAAAAACAATCACCCTGGACTGTCTGTGATTGAGAAAGTGGGTGACATATTTATCTACTAGACAAAAAAGGGACTGTCTAGATGAAAGAAAATGGTTTCTCTTTTCACACAAAAAGTATAGGCGGAATATATTTTGTATATATTCTGTCCCTGTCCTCCTTGTCTGTAAAAGCAAATACATCAGGATAAGTTAGAAACAGAAAAGGGTCTGTGCTGCAGTGGCTTTTGTAAATTTTCTAAATGTCCTTACCTGAAACTAAAACCATTTGCATGAATACGAGACTCAGTTTTAAAATGTGTTCTCTTAAAAATCTAAGGAACATTTAAGCACATTCGGAAACTGCATTTTCATTTCCTGCTTTGATTTTATGCGTTACGTGTAATGATCTGCCTGAGTCAGTGAGTAGTCCTTTGAGTTTACCACATCATTACTACGTCTGTAAGGAATGAAAAAGAAACGCTGAGGAGAGGATATTTTACTGCTACAGATTTTTGGCATTTCCGTAACTGAGTCTGTTTTTGTTGCCAAAGTACCGACACATGTTTGGGCATGTAGTAGCAGATAAAAGAATCCCACATGTAGAAATATTTCAAAAGACTTTACTTTGCATTACTACTAAGGCTGCTGGGGTCGATACTTAATTTAAATGCTCTGTAATGACTTTTTCACTACAACCTGCTGGCACTGATCAGTCAGTCGTACGTGTTTTCCTCCCAGAGTTCAGCGTCCCGTTCCCTTAACAGTTAGTTTACAGAACGGAATTTACAACGTCAGTTTGATAAAACACACGAAGACACAAATCTCTCTTCAGTCCAATGGCAAAGCAGACGGATGATGTTTACACTTTGACCAAGTCACCTTGTTTGTTGTTGTTTTGTTGTTAATTGAAAACATAGTGAGAATTAAAACTTAAAGTCGATTACTGGGGGGAAAAAAGAAGAAGAAGAAGAAGGCATGTGGTTCTTTATTCATCGCAGTGCACCATGGGTGTGAAAGCTCCTCTCACTTTCTGTTCAGCTGGCTGCTGTAATTATGCAGAATTTTTTTTTTTTTTTTTAATTCTGCTTTCCAGTTCTACTCTATCAGTACACGATATCGGGGAGTGAACGAATAACAATAACTAAGATTTTACTCTCATCACTGCCTTACTGTGACACGTAATAATCAGGGCTTGTTATCAAGAGTGTAATATTTATTATGCTAAATGGGTAAAAGCTCTGCCCACTTTCTTTCAGCTGGCTTACCTATGCAGAAAGTTATTTTATTTTATTTATCCTTTTATTATTTTTATTTATTTTATACATAGTGTTATTGATGCATCAGTGTCAGATTGGAGGCAGTTATTCATACAGAATTGTTTTGTTTTGATTTTTTTTTTTTTTGCCTCGAATGCTAATATCCATTTATGTTAATGAGAAGAAAATACAACTGTGAGCTTGTTTCAGCTTAATGTAACCCAGCCTAAAGAAGTAACAGTATTGGTACTCAGTATGGACGACACTCATGTACACGTGTGCGTCCGTGTGGACAAGCTCAGTGATCATATATATCCACTGAGCAAATGCAAAATCTATATTTAATCACCGAAGTGATTTCAAATGCAAATTCTGAAAGAATTAATAAATACAAGAGAAAATAGAAACCCAACTTGGGTTGGCTCCAGGCACAGTGCCATCTGGAAGACAGACATTAGACCAATTGGAAGACATTCATCCATGAGTGACGTCACCCACCACAATCATGTCTCTATCAAAACATGTTTATTTTAAAAGAGGGCTGTAATAATATTTGTATTCTCTTGGTATGATTAAGTTCAGAGGTTTGTATTTGTGCACGAAAGACCCTTTTTCATCCCGTTCTTAGATGCGTGACCCTTGCGTACCAGTCTCTCCTTCCAATATGTATTGCTGGCTTCATCCCAGGAGCCGGGTAGTTTATTTATTCAGGCTCCCACAATGCACGCTGACACAAGGTGGCAGTTACTGTAATGCAGCGACTACTAAACCAATTTATCATATTTGTGAAAGGATGTGTGTGTGTACGAGTTTAATGTACTCATTTATCAAAAATTCTAAATATCATTGTTATAATGCAAAAGTAAAAAAAAAAACCCAAAACTTTAATATATATATTACTTTCACATAGCAAGATAAAATTTGTTGTTTTCTCAATGATCAAAATGTTGTGGTTTATGTGGAAAAATTCCATCTTCGGAATTGCGACGACAGAGCTGATGAAATACTGTGTTGTCAGAGTTACAGAGTGACATTATTACCACAACAGACGAAATCATCGAATCATTAGTGGATTGATAGGGTTGCGCAAAACCGATTAGTTGTTGCAGCTGTGATCTGTAACCTAGCGTCACTCTTTTTTTCTTCTTTGTGTCTGACACAAACGGACACAGAAAGTGAGAATCACTGCCGCATGAAAGCTGTTCAGTAAAGGGAATGAGAATTAAAGATTTTACAATAATGGCTTATAATTACAGCGTTCAAAGGTTTAAAAACAAACAACAAACACAATCTTTGAGCTGGTCAGTAGCAGTTGACTGTTAAATTGAAAAGTACACCCTTGCAAAAAAAAAAGAAAAACAGTTTTATAATGAAATGACCAGCAGTGATTTTTTTTTTTAGTCTGTTTATCTTGTATTCTTGTTTTGATTCACAATTCAATGTTAAGTTATTTTATGTTGAAATAATTGTAAATATACGGTTTGTCCTTTCTTTCATTTCACATTTACATTTAAGCGTTTAAGTCGTCGTGGCCTGTTAAGGGAAATATGCAGGGGTTTTTTTTTTTTTTTTTTCCTCACACGTAGTGCAGGTCGGCCAAAAAGAGCGTTTAATGAGTGGATATAAATGGTGTTTTCTTGGCCTTAGCACCACTAATGACCACCTACAGCTAGCTGAGGCTTAAAATAGCTTAGCTGTTTGCGTATCTTTTGAATTTTAACCACAGTTCTCTGATATATTTAATTTTTCAGCCTGATATTTAAACAGTGCCAGAAATAGCAGAGACACATAGAGACACAGCACTGATTTAATCAAAACCAAATAGAACTTAACATAGAATTTACATATACATTTTGTGACCTAGCTGGGTTAGGCTAAGGTAACCATGCTAACACACTCGGCCCTTCTTCTTTGCTGGGCTAAAGTGGCAAATTCACATTACAGCCTACTTTCAAGTTACAAGTATTTCATTATGTTTCAGTTTTCCTGCAATAGAAAAGCCCTTCTTTATTGGGCTAAAGTGGCAGATTCACAATAGAGCCTACTTTCAAGTTACAAGTATTTCGTTATGTTTCAGTTTTCCTGCAATAGAAAGAAAAGATAGCGTTAAAAAAACAAAAAACTTGCTGATGTATATAGCACTAAAAAAAATTAAATTTTGTTTTAAATTAGTTGTTGGGTTTTTTAATAAGGTAAAGCTTCATTTTGTTTCTTCTGTAGACCAACGAACTAACCTTTTGATTTCACAGTGGCCTCTGCGTTATAATCTTAAAAACGAAATGCAGAAGAGACTAAAAAAAGTTTAACAAAGATTGTTTCTGGTTTTTTTTACAGGCAGATCTACTGATGACCAAATGGGCCTGACATTGCAAGTAGTTCTTTTTTGGTTACTGGCACTGCACAGTGACACTGTTACGGGCAGTACCCTGTACAGGGTCCAGGAGGAGCAGCCTCCCAACACATTAATAGGCAGTCTGGCCGCAGACCGGGGTCTGCCCGACTCGGGCCACCTGTACAAGCTTGAAGTAGGTGCTCCGTACCTGCGCGTTGATGGGAAGACCGGAGACATTTTCACCACAGAAATCCCCATCGACAGAGAGACTCTGAAAGACTGTCGCTCTCTAAGTAAGGGGAAACTGTGCTACCTGGAATTTGAAGTTTCAGTAACAGATCTGATCCAGAATCAAAGCCCAAGACTCATCGAAGGACGTATCGAGGTTCAAGACATAAATGACAATACCCCACAATTTCCCTCTTCTGTGCTGACCATCTCCGTGCCAGAAAACACAATCATGGGGGCGCTATTTTCCATACCATTAGCAACAGACCGGGATTCGGAAAGGAATGGAGTCGCTGAGTATGTGCTCACTGCTGGGCCAGATGCAGCGACGCTTTTCGGTTTACAAGTGGCTGAAGATAGAGGAGGGAAGCTCCCGCAGCTCATCGTTCTGGGCAATCTAGATCGAGAGTTCAAAGATTCCTATGACCTCACCATCAAGGCTGTGGATGGAGGGAATCCTCAGCGCTACAGCAGCGCCCTGCTGAGAGTGGTGGTCACAGACGCCAATGACAACGCTCCGAAGTTTGAGAAGTCCACATACGAGTCGGAGGTTTCAGAGAACAGCCCGACGGGACACTCTATTTTGCAGGTAAGAGATAATATACAATGTACAGTATCTGTTAAATATGATGTTTCAATTGGATTATAACAGGCGTGGGCAAACTAAGGCCCGGGGGCCGGATGCGGCACGTCCAGCTTTTTAATCCGGCCCGCCAAACTTTTCCAAATTATATTATTTATTTATATTATCATTATACTTCTACGATCCCTGCAGTACCCATGTTTCCCCAAAAGATGGCGAAGAAAATGATAAAAACATTTTAGCCGTTATGCATGACTTTAACATGTCATTTATCTTAGTTCACACGAACCCTCCATCCATCTGCTCCTGACCTGGGCAATTTTAGGACAATTGCGGCCCGCGAGTCAAAAAGTTTGCAAATGCCTGGATTGTAGCACGGAGCCAAAAAGACGGCCATATTCCACAGAGCAAACACTGTGACAGTAGATGAAGTTGATTCATTAGGTAAAACAATGCATGGTTAGTTTTCATTAGGGATCCTAGGCGGTACGCTGGCTAACTGTCACACTGTCCTTACATCAACTGAACAAAACAATTATGAGTGTAATCAGTTCTGTCAAAATGTGTCACTATTAACAATAGTGTAAAATACTATTGAATAGGGGTTGGGAAAAAACATTAGAATAATAGTAGTAATAAAGATTAAATGTGGTTGGCCTATGAATAACGTTTACAGAGCACATATTAAGAAGAAACGAAACCACCCGGCCTTGTCTCAGTGGCCGTCAAGGCCATTAAATATGCAAAGAACAAAAGCATTTCTGTTGCATTCTTATCTAAATGGTGCCACTTTATGTATTTTACTGGTGCAACAGACTGCCGTTCATAGTCCTTAACAATCAATGCACTGTGGCTTCAGAGGAACTGTTTCCGCCCTATATGGGAAACAGTCTGCGGTTGCCGAAGCATTTCCAAAGCAGCGGAGGATCAATGAACAAATTAATACATAAATGTGTTTTATTGTGAGGAGAAGAAGAAAGATTTGAGGCTGAAGTTCAAAGACAAAGTGTAAGCTAGTCAGCTGCAAAGATTGGAGCCGGCGTGCTACGCGTCGACTGCATCAAATAAGATATATATAAGGTGGCATCTTTGTTCAAGGCTGTTGTTTTTTCTTTTACAGTAATACTGACCGTACGTACGTAAACCCGGAACCCAAATCTAAAAATGTAACATGTAGTGGATTTGAGTGCTAATGCGTTCTTGTAGTAAAAGCTGTTTTTTAAACCAGCTGTTTAACTGGTCGACTGTTATTGTATTATATATTTGTAGATAATAAAACAACTCTGTAGATCATAAATCAACAAGAAGGAAAGACAAAAACCAGTACAAACAATTGACATGCAAGGCTCTTAAGTCCATACCGTTGCGACATTTATCTCTTTAACAATACCCATTCGTTATTTGCAGGTCAAAGCAAATGACTCTGACATGGGCCCTAATGGAGAAATTGAGTACACCCTTCATCAAGCGGTAGACCCTGTGCCGAGGCTCTTACGGATTGATCACTCCACCGGTGTTATCTCTGTGAAAGGATCACTGGACAGGGAGGAAATCAGCAGCCTGTCATTCTATGTTATGGCGAAGGATAAGGGCCCTCAACCAAAAAGCTCCAAGACATTTGTGACCATTGAGGTGACAGACCAAAATGACAATGCTCCGGCTGTGGAGATTCGAGGGATCGGTCTCGTGACACACAGCAAAGGAGTGGCCAATATTTCGGAAGACATGCCAGTGGCAACGGCCGTGGCCCTGGTGCAAGTGTCGGACAAAGATGAGGGAGAGAACGCGGTGGTCACTTGTGTGGTCGCAGGAGATGTTCCCTTTCAGCTCCGACCTGCCAGCGACTCCTCCAGCGACAACAAGAGGAAGTATTTCCTGCAGACCACCACTCCGCTCGACTTTGAACGGATCAGGGAGTACAGGGTGGAAATTGTGGCCGTTGATTCGGGGAATCCAGCACTCTCTAGTACTAATTCGTTAAAAGTACAGGTGACCGACGTAAATGACAACTCGCCTATATTTTCCCCGGCCGTGTTCGAGGTTGATTTCGCTGAAGAAAACCAACCAGGGGAGAAGGTTCTGGATGTTACAGCTTCGGATGCTGATAGTGGCACTAACGCTGAACTCTTTTATAATATTTTGGCAGACTCATCCATCAAAGGCCTCTTTGAGATTGACCCAAATACAGGTGAAGTAAGAGCCCGTAGCCCGCTCGACCGTGAGCATAAAGAACGCTATGAGTTCCGTGTTACAGCAGCAGATAAAGGATCGCCCGTTCACAAAGGTACTGCATCGGTGGTAATAAACGTTCTTGACCGCAACGACAACGATCCCAAGTTTATGCTCAGTGGCTACAGCTTCTCTGTTTTGGAAAACATGCCTCCCCTCAGCCCTGTAGGTATGGTGACAGTGTTGGACGTGGATAAAGGTGAAAACGCTCGTGTGCACCTCTCCGTTGAACCTGATGGGGGGAAGTTTGTGGTTCAGAACGGAACTGGCACCATTCTCTCAAGTATCTCCTTCGACAGGGAGAAGGATAGCAGCTACACTTTCCGTCTGAAGGCAGTGGACGAAGGAGAGCCACCGAGATCTTCATACGTTGGCGTGACCATTAATGTACTGGATGAAAACGATAACGACCCCGTGGTCACAAAGCCCTCCAACTTCTCTTATAAGCGCTTGTCACCCGTCTCCTCTCCAGATAGCCATGTGGAAATAGTGGAAGCTGAAGATTTGGACAGTGGGCCTAATGCAGAGCTGGTCTTTAGTATTGCTGGTGGAAACCCTCACCAGTTATTCCGCATCTCTCCTACTAGTGGTGAGATCACCCTTGCTAAAGAGATGACCCGGAAACATGGCGGACTTCACCGCCTCGTGGTGCGAGTAACTGATAGAGGAAAGCCTCCACGTCACACCACCGCCCTGGTCCACATCTATGTCAATGAAACCATTTCAAACGTCAGCTTAGTAGAAGCCCTAATTGGTCACAGTCTTTACACTCCACTGGACAGGGACATCGCTGGCGATCCCGACAACGGCTTCGCCGCACAGCGCAGTAATATTTTGTTTGGAAGCCTTGCCGGTGTGGCAGGCGTTGTTCTGTTGATTTTGGTGGTGGTATTCATACGGCACCGCATCCAGAAGGAAACCAAGAGCGGCTATCAGGCAGGCAAAAAGGAAACAAAGGACTTGTACGCATCCAAACAAGCACCCAAGAACGCCAAAGGCAAACGTGGGCGTAAAGGCAAACCCCAGAAGTCTCCGAAACCACTCGGGGAGGAGGAGGAGGTTAGCCTGCAGAAAAGTCTAAAGTTCAACCTCGACGGAATCAATGACAGCCCTAGGATACATCTGCCCTTGACGTATTCACCGGGAAGCCCTGATATCGGCAGGCACTACCGCTCCAACTCTCCCCTGCCATCCATCCAGCTGCAAGCCCAGTCACCTTCAGCCTCACAGAAGCACCAGGCTGTTCAAGACCTGCCAGCTGCCAACACCTTCGTGGGAACGGGAACGGATGACAACTCCACCGGTTCAGACCAGTACTCAGATTACAGCTACAAAACCAGCCAGCCGAAATATAACAACAAACAAGTAAGTCACGCCTTGTTTCCGTTTTAAAAAGTGATTTCTTGAGATTGCAATTAGTGAATTGTAAATCGGTCATTAGTTAAATTAACTAGCTTTACAGCACTTGTATTTATCTTAATATGGAGATCTGTGCATGTTGTTTTCGCCTCCATACAAATACCACTGTGAAGGAAGTGAGATGACGCTGAAAGAAAAAAATGACAGCCCACAATAGTTAATTAAGTTAATTACGTTTCACGACTGAATAACTCGGCATCACATACACTATAGGGCTGACGTCGAAGTTGAGCAGGGAATGTCCGTTTCTCACCGTCGCGGCCCAGCTCCCCTGTCTCACCCCCCTGTCTCACCCCCCCGGTGCACTAGTCTTCGCAGGTCACTTGCGCTTATCTCCGCTGCTTCCTACTGCATTGCTCTTATCTCCTGTCATCGATGCAACATTTGGCCAGGTTGGAATCACCATGGAAACAGAAAAATTAATAGGCTCAAAAGGGATTAAGAATAGAAAAAAAAAAAAAAACATGTCTGGGAACAGAAGGGAATAGTGTGTCTCTAGGTTTCTGTGTCATCGGCGTGTGTGTTTGTGTGTGTGATAGTTGGTCTTGGAGGAAATAGATGTTTGTGTACAGTATATCTTGGCAGAATATACAAAGCTCACTCTCACATTACTTAATTAAATCACGTCAACCTTTGGTTCTGCAGCGTCCAGATGTTTCAATGATATTCATTCATTAGGACGTGTGCATAAGTAGAGCTCATCAGAATGAACGTGTCCCATACAGTCATTTTTGAAAAATAAATCCGATTAAAAATGTTATTTCAACACACGGGGAGAATGATGTGCAATATATAACCAATTAGTCCACCATCTGCTCTAACAGACAGTCGATACACATGTATTTGTTTGCACGTACC